TGGCACATGCTGAAGAATGTGAGTAGCAACTCATTAATTAGTAGCAATTCGCCCCTACAAATTTAGCCTGGAGCAAGTGCAAATCTTGCATTTAAAGCTTTTAAAATAATTGTCCACTGAAAGCTTGCAATTCATTTGCTCTGTTTGTATCAAGCTAACATAATCAACAGAAACAAAATGATAAATAATTTGTTTCAGTGGGTGGAATGTTTTGTCCCATAGATGTTTTAAATATTTCTATAGAACGTGACTTGATGATTCCATGACTCAAGAAAAGGCAGCTCATTGTTTGTGTATGACTTCTTCAGTAGGATTAATCATAGCTCATAGTAATATATCTGTAGCTCACGTACATTTTACAGCTTTTTATATATTTTAACTCACTTTCACATTACATTACAGTATGATGTCCTTTAATTGTCTGAAAATCTCCTTTTTCCATGTGTACCTTTGACTGGATGTATTAATATAAGACAATGAGCCAGGGATCCTGAGGAATATTGTTTTGTTCAGAATGAGTGGTGTGATGCAGTTGTTCAAACAACTAACTTTCCCCAAGTTCTGTGAGTTATATAGGATTACTGGCAATGACTGCTTCAATTGGGAAGCCTCACTGTAAAACCGTAATGGAATATTTCCACTGCTAGTTCTGTAATTTGTCAGATTGCTACAATTTCTTGTTACAATGATGCTCTTGTTTTTCAATAGTGAGAAGGGTAGGTACATTAGTCCATGACAGCAAAAGCAATAAAGATTTTGGCATAACCTTAAAGTGCTAGTTACATGGATGTGTGAGCCTACAAGGAGTAGCATTTACATCACTGGATGCAGTGAAGTGTTGTCCTCTGCAGATAGTGGAATGGCCAGATTACTTTGCACGTTTTGTATGCATTTGAGCCCCAAGTAGTGTTGTGGTTGTGATCCTTTTGGGTGTGTTTTGCCTGGTGAGCACATAGTACAGTCCCATTGCATCCTGGAATTCTCAATAAGCAAAGATTTTAATTTTATGTTAACCTTATGACTGGCAGTGATAGGAGGTCTTTGGCTACTAACATCATTGTTCCATTGTTATTCTTCTTTATTGGGATGTGAGGCATGGATTTTTTTTTTCAAAACTGATGCAAGAAAATTGTGTGATTGCTAAATTATTGAAGAAAGTCAGATTGTGCCTAAAATGTTTTGGATTTCTTATTCTAGTGTTACATGAAACTGCTTGATTCAAATGCTTGAAATTAAAAATTGCTATACAGTGGTACCTGGATTTAAGAACTTAATCTGTATTGGGACTGCGTTCTTATGTCAAAACATTTTTAAGTTGAAGCACTATTTCCCATAGGAATGCATTGAAAACCATTTAATCCGTATCTGCTGTTTTTCGTTCTTAAGTCGAGGCTACCACTAGGGGGCGAATTTTTAAATTATTTTTTCTTCTTTTGACCTATGTTGAACTTAGGTCAAAAATAGGGCAGGAAAAGTTTTTTTTTTTCTTTTTCTTTTTGGTTCTTACGTTAAGGCTCCGTTCTGAAGTCGAAGCAACTTTTTGTGAACAGAGCCGTTCTTAACTCAAATTGTTCTTATGTAGGGAAATTCTCACATCGAGGTACCACTGTATATGTTTTTGATGTGTCTGTGAAATCTAAATATTTTGTTTTATATTAATATCCCAAGGAAAAGCTAGTATTTTCACAGAGACGCACCTGAAACCTGACAGCAATTCTACTTGCACCTGAGTAAAGTGCTAGCCTTCAAAGTGCTACAAGATTCTCTCTCTCTCTCTCTCTCAATACATTTCTGTGTTGCATCCTAACAAGCTGGCTGTATTTGAATACGAATAGATACAAAGCTTTTGTATTTTCTTTCATATTGCCTGACTTTGCTGAATGCATGCATATACTGAGAATTGGAAGGGAATTCTTATTTTGGTGACAACTTACTAGTGGTTTCAAAGGCTGAATGTTGTCACCCTCTTGGTGAACAAACTCCCTGAAATGGTTTCCTTTATATTCCTGAACCTTTGTGTTGACTGTTTCATAGTGTACACTTGTTACCATAGCAACTTGGAGAGGTTAAAATGTATTGTTTAAAAGTAAAGAGAAAAGATCAACAGTGAAACTCCCACATGGACTTTTTTTTCTTGGGGTCACAATGACATTTAGTGTACATTAGCAGGTGTTCAAATAAAAACCCTCCCTTTCATCAGGTGCAAAACAGTGTTCTGTGCTGACCTCAGTTTGTCCTGCTGAAAAGTCTCAGCTTTCTCTTTCTCTCTTTTGCTAAAAGAGCAAGGTGTTAGTCAAGGGACTTCTTCCTTCCTTTTGGCACTGGCTCAAAAACCAACCTCAAGATTTCTTATGCAAAACTGAAATGTCATTCTTTCTTTTGCTTCTTCACAATGTATTTTATTGATGTTTGGAAAGAAGCTTTGTTCCTTTGTGGCTTTCTTGTGTTATTTTTAAAGGCTGATGCTCATTAATCTGTAAATGCTAACAGATATAGATTTTTTTTAAAAAAAATGGAGGTTAAAATTTACATATCTTTAGCACCATCTAGTGGTCCTTTACACCCTCTCAATTGGAAAGCAATTCCAAGTTGAACTGTAGCTGAGATTTGCAAAATTGAATTTAGAACATGATAAAAGCATTCTTGTTGGATGCATGACTGCTCACATTCAGGAGAAAATTGCCAATAATTTGCTTTAGATTAAACAAATGATGGTGAAATAGAGGTCTGTTATGGCAATTATACTAGAAAACAGTTTATGGCTTGCTCACATTATTTTTCCACAGTTTTAATGGCTGCTTATAACAACTCTAGTCTTCATACTGTTAACCTGTCTTGAACACACCAGAAAACTTTTTTTCCTAATTATTATGCTGTACTCATTCACTCTGAACAGCCCTTTCTGAGCTATACTATGTGGTACTTGTTTATCTGGCACTTGTAGTAGTTTCCTGATTATATCCTTATGTTTTTCTTGTGGCTCCATGATTTGTATAATTCTGCATTAAAAAATAAACAAATAGGAACAGAATGTGTAACAAAATATTTCTCTTTCAATAACTCTGAATAAATTGGAACAGCCCATTTGTTCCTTTGGCCAGTAACACTTTTCTTCAGCTTCTGATGGTGTACCAATTTTCACCCCTCTCGGGAAAAGTGGGTTTGGCCACAAGGATTCAATCCCTAATTACCTCTCAAATAGGCTGTTGTAATGAGCTGTACCATGGGTCTTCCCTTGAAAAAAGGGTTCAGATGCAGTAACTTGTTCAAATTGCAGGTCAGACTGTTGTTTTCCGTGCAGTTTAGACTTGTGTGCTTAGTAGCTATTGCCCAAATGCTATACAATTTCTGCATTGCTGGCAGGTTGTGGAGTGCACTCATTCACAATAATGAAGATTTTGCTTATGCAATGTTGTAACAGTTGTTTCCTATTGTTTCACCCATGCCAAAACAGTTCTTCCAAAGTGGCTGAATACAGACTTAAACATACTTCAGATTAGATTCAGTTAACTTTCACTGGACTTGACATAGCCATACAGTAGACCCATTGAGAGCAGTGGGATTTCAGTTATTCATGCCCAATATCCAGTTGACATAAGGGAATCTTCTCTTAGTATGATTAAGTTTGAATTCAATCCAAAGAGTTTCAGTTTTGAAAAACAGCTAGTAATAATTATTTCTTCTCTTTTGCAAATCTAGTGTATATTTAGAAGAGTACTGTATTCTTGTTAACATCACTTCTCAAGCACATATATACCTTTATAGGACTCAAGGTGAGGCCAAACGTTTTCTGAAGTCCTGGGCAAAATACACACATTGGACAGCTAACATAGTGGGTCACACCAAACTTACCTTAATATTGGCAGCTGGAAACTGGGATCAGAGCAGTAATAGCACTGAGAATGTGGGCTGGTCTGGCTGTTGTTTTAATATCCCCACAAAGCTATGCCTCTAATGGGTACAGGGAGTATGTCTGCATGTACTCAGTGTTATGTTCAGTGTTGCTGATATTTCCCCACTACATGGTGCGTGAATTCTGTGGCATTATAGTTAAAACCCCATTAGGCAAAATTAAAATAGAAGTTACACTGGAATATGAAGCTGAGGCTCAAGGTTCTTGCTATTGCACAGCCAAAATGAATGCTATGGAAGAAGCTTGGGGCTGGTGATCCATCTTGGGGCTTCATGTATGCCATGTATTGGTGGCAAGCCTGTTGTTGTTTAGTCGTTAAGTCGTGTCTGACTCTTGGTGTCCCCATGGACCAGAGCATGCCAGGCCCTCCTGTCTTCCACTGCCTCCTGGAGTTGGGTCAAATTCATGTTGGAACACTCAAGATGGACAGGTCATAGTGGAGAGTTTGGACTAAACGTGATCCACCTGGAGCAGGAATTGGCAAGCCACTCCAGTATTTTTGCCAAGAAAACCCCATGAACAAAAACAAAGGGTGGCAAGCCTAGAAGTCCTCATTTTTATTCCTTTGGTCCTTTTGAAATGAATGAGGTCTGTGTACTCATATTTTAAATTAGTTCATTGATGGACAAAGAAGTAGCTGTATCCACTGCATGTCATCCAGTTAAGTGTAATATATTTCACATCAAGCCACAGAGTTTGCAAAAAGGTCTGTTAATAGCTTGGATGGTGAAATCAAAATGAATGTCATCTCCAGTGTACCAATGAGAATAAAAAAGGAGCAAAAATAAGTTTTCTTTAATTATATTTCTCATAATGCTACTTTATGGCAGGCTGTTATTGCACCCCAATGTCTTCCTTAAACTTATACTGGGATCTAACAAATTTAAAATGTACACACAAAAATCTTTCACAGTGTGGTGCACAAACAGAAAATAGATTATCATCATACCATGCATGCTATTTTAATCAGTTAATTATAAATTGACTAGAATTTGAAAACTCCCCCACCCACAGGAACATGCGTAATTAGGACCTAGAAATTTAAAATACAATGCACTCAAAATTATTTTTTCTTTCTTTTTAATAGGACATGGATTGCACACAGTAAACACAGTATATGGAGATACCATTATTTTACCTTGCCATTTAGAAATTCCTAATGATCTTATGTTTGGAAAATGGAAATATGTAAGTATAACTTGCATTATATTAGTTCTATTATTGTAGTGCATGAAGAAGTATGCAAAAATATTTTTCATTATTATGAAGTTATCCCAAAATACAGGCACATCTTTTCAAGAGCCCAATTTAATTGTCTCCAATCTGCAATTTTAGATGGGTGATATTCTGGCATCCCTTATGAAAAAAGATCGTGTCCTTGTAATGATAGAAAAATTGAAACTTTGAAGCACATTCTCTTTGAGTTTAATCTTTACAGAAATAAGAGTATCAGATTCCTCAAGCCTAGAATGAATGTCTTCCGAGGTAGGACTCTGATTTGGCATATAAAATATTTATTAAGCGACACAAACAAGACAACCACTGACTGAATCAGTGGCCAAATTCCTTTTCTCTGCCCAAAGAATACGAAAGGCAACTTTTGACCTCTGCCGGACCCCGTCATAAAAACAATGTCTGGGTAATTTATTTTATTAACTTATACTGTTTTAGCTATCTTGAAATGTTTTAATTGCTTCCATTCATTTTAAATATTACATGTGTGTATCGTATTGGATCGGAGACCGCAAATAAATATTTATTGGTTGATTGCATATTATACAGTTGAAAATGGGTTTAAATATGTGTTTCAAGTATTTTTAGTGCTAACATTTATTAGGAATCTGACAGTTTTCCTAATGTATAGAGTTGAAGAGCAATCATTATTTGTTCAATTATTTTGGACAAAACTGTGCACATGTTGAAAAAAAATTTCATTTGTGGTTAAAAAAAGTTGTCATTAGTTTTGTGTAACTTTAAGCTTGTACCATATACTGCCGTATTTTATGTTTACCCAAGCAAAGAGTGGCAAATTCATAGACTCTGGATACATTTTATTTTGCATCTAAAAGTACTTGGAGTGTACAAAAGGGCCCTAATAGAGGCACAGTGGAATTATGCTAAAATTGCAGTTTGTTCCCATGCTAACTTGAACAAGTCCAAGTTTTATACATAAAGGAAGAGGAGTGAAGTGATTATTTTATAATAATCTTATTGTTATAAAAAGGGCCCAGTGTAATATATCAGTTAGTACAGCTGGATAAGCAAAAGCTAGGATCTCAAGCTTTAATAAATAGAAACCTAAAAGCGGAGATTGCAACAGTTTTCAGTTCACTGTACAAGCATATCAGCCATGACTTTTTCCATAGCACCCCAGTCTCCAAGCCCCTAGACTTTCGGGCAGGAGGACTTCCTTCTTTAGTTTTTGCTCTAAAGATTGTTTGTTGTTCTGCAAACTACAGTGTTCTCGCAAGCAAGCTGCTATCTCTCTTTTGTGGCTGTACCATTTGAATTATTAAAAGACTGGCAATCAGAGAATTAAGAAGGCTATCAGTACACAGTATATTGTAATAGTTTGGAAGGAATGTAAGGTAGGATCAAAGCCTTGAAAGGGAGATGAGGTTCAAGGACAAAACGGAGTGGAACAACAGCAAAGAAATGGAAAGGAAGCTAGTGCTGGCAACTCATGTGTGATTGATGCAGGGTTGATTTTGATGGGAGTTTGGCTTCAAGTCTCTGATCAATTAAGAGTCACACTAGATATCTTGGGCCCAGTGGTCTTTTACAAACTAACCTCTCTCTGGGTGGTAAAGATAAAATGGGATAAATTCCATCAATGCTTTATTCATTTGTAGTGCTAGGCAGAATGAACAAGTGGCAGATGTCTGGGGCAAATGGTAGCAGTGATAGCAACCTCTCAACTATTTCTGCAGAATTCCTAGGATAAATGACAGAGCTGTAAATGCCACATAATCTGTTCTGATTCCTCAAAGTAGCTTACTGACTCCTTGTTTAATACCCAGTTGCTAGTTGAGTTGGCCTTTGTTTGTTGAATAGGAAGAGGATCATCTTGACACTTGTCTTCAACATTGAAACTCCTTAGGCTGTCTTTGAGACCCTGAGACTTTGGCAGTCCAGAGAATGTAGAAGTAAAAAAATGGTTAGAGAATATGAGACTTAAAGGACTGATTACTAGCACATGAATCAGACTTGTGCCAGTAGGAAAGGACATTAAGTCACCACCACTGAAATAGAATCTGCAACTTGAATGTGTACATTTGTAACTTTTCAGAAGCAAAAGTGCAACCAAAGCTCAAGTCAGTATGATCTATTATGACCATTTTCAATTAATTCTTTTCAGGTGGTTTTACTGCTGTTATTGTTTTATTGTTATTATATATTAGCACTAGTTTAGTGTAAACTGAATTGAGTTTTTTTTAAAAAAATGAAAATAAAAATTGGTGTAGGATGCTTTAAACTATGGGACCACCTGTTACGTGGCTGAGGGTCTAGAATGCCCTCAGGTCCTCATTTTTTTTTCTTCATATTGCTGATCAATGATAGTACAAAGAAAGGATAACAAGATTCATTGTTAAATTCCCCTTTTTTCATAGAGTCAGGTTATCTTATTTCAACAAAATGAAGAGTAATTTTCTTCCAGTCCAGTTCTTTGCAACTTGTGCAAAATACCTGTAGTGCTATTTCCCTTTGAAAATCAAAGGTCAAATCCAGACCAATCACAGTAGGACTATCTGATTAAAGAAAGAGGTGCACAAGCAATCTTTCAAATTATTGTAGAAATTTGGGCAGTTGTATGAATATTGCAGTTTTATGCAAAAAAAAAAACAGATGTTTGTGCAAAATGGGCATTTCTCCAAAATCTTGTACAGTGGTGCCCCGCAAAGTGACGTTAATCTGTTCCAGGATTAACGTCGCTATCCGGATTCTTCGCTATGCCGGGGGGGAACCCATAGGAACGCATTAAACTCCATTTAATGCATTCCTATTGGGGAAAAACTCACCGGTAAGCGAAGAATCCCCCATCCGGCCGCCATTTTTGCTGCCTCGGTAAGTGAGGTGCGAAAACGCTGCGGGCAGCCATTTCCCCCCGAGCGCCCGCAGTAGATGCTTCCCCAGAGGTTGCTCTGAAGCAGGCTTCAGAGCAACCTCCGGGGAAGCGTCCACCGTGGGCGCTCCAACCTTCTCCCCCCCCCAGCTGGGCGGTGCTAGCTTCCGAGCACCCGTGGTGGAGGCTTCCCCGGAGGTTGCTCTGAAGCCTGCTTCAGAGCAACCTCCGGGGAAGCCTCCACCACGGGCGCTCGGAAGCTAGCACCGCCCAGCTGGGGGGGGGAGAAGGTTGGAGCGCCCACGGTGGACGCTTCCCCGGAGGTTGCTGTGAAGCAACTCTGACAACTGTTGTAAAGTAAAAAGTCTCATTAGATGCCATGTACAAAAATGTTTGTGGATCATTTATAAACTTAATAATTAATAGCACCCTACTTAATAATTAATAGCACCCTACTTACAAAAACTGAGTAGCACCTTATTTACAAAAAGCATGGCCTCTCCCATTTTGAAGAGACACTTATTCAGCAGGCTGAGGCAAGGAGGCAGTCTCAAAACCAGCAAAATTAAGGAGCTGGATAGGGGACAGATTCCACATTTGTCTTCAGTGTGGAAGGAATTGTCACTCTCGAATTGGCCTTCTCAGCCACACTAGACGCTGTTCCAAGACCTCTATTCAAAGCATGTTAGCATAGTCCCTCTTGACAGAAGGATGCCATTACACTTACAAAAAAAGGTTTCTGATGCCTTCACAATGAAGAAATAAAGCTTATTGAACAGATCAGGTTGGTGTAATTGCATAAATTCTGGATTACATATTAATAGTGAAAATGTCAGACAGACAATATTATTATTTTAATTCAAGAAACAGTTTCCAGTCTTTTGGAAGAGAAGTAAGGCAATGGGAGAAATAAAGGATAAAAATGAAATAAATAATAATGTTTAAATAATGTTTGGTAGTATTCTTCCGATTCTGCAAGACTTTACGTAAACTCTTTGGTCACAAGATGCTCTTTTCCTTAACTTGCACACTTCTGTAAGAGATTATTTAATCTCCTACCTGAAGGTGGAAATGAAACATGGACAATTAACTAGGTGATACATCTCTACAGCAAATTACTGCAACTTAAGAACCTAATTTGTGCATGTGCTGTTGCACTTGAAATCGTGAAATTTAGTATACAACAGCAAATGTCTGTGCTAGCTTCTTAATTTGTGGCAGTTTGCCACAGAGATTATGCTGATTGCTTTATGCTACCTTAAAAACACACAACTTTGGTCAGAGTTATTTATCTTAAAGATCAATAATACCAGTAACAATAGCCATTACTTTCTGGACTAGTCTCCAAGGCCTCCACAATCATGTCTTAGAATCACCCAGGAGATCACTGCTGGCATCTCTAGTCCCTGCACTGTACCAGAATCCCCATTGTTTTGCCTTGCTGCCTGCATTAGAATGGTGTAGGTAGTTTACAAAATACCACAGAATACCACTAATACACTTTCTCCTTTCATTCCCAGTTGTTCAGGCCCATACTATGACAAAGAGATGGACAGATAGGCAGACAGATGAACAGACATTTAGAGAGTCTTTTGAAATATAGACAGATGTTTCTGTTTCATGTTTTAGACCATATTTATTTCCCTGCACCTTTTGCATATTTTACATTTGGAATGACAGATAATCCTGCATTCATTATAAAACCTATTCCAGAATTTACTATTCTGAATGCCATTTTTATAATAAACACAAGGTCTTTAAAGTCCAGTGGCAATATTTATCCAAAGCTGTATTGTATTTGATTGAATGGATGTGCAATGATCTTTGAAAATCTAGTTTAATTTAATCAGGTCATAAAGGAAGTATCAGATGGGCAAGAATATGAGCAAAAGGCCTTCACAAGTATCTTTTAAAACTATTTCGTTTTTTTTTTAATTTCTAGGAAATTGCAAACAAGCCTTCAGAGTTTATTGCCTTCAGATCTGCAACGAAGAAGAATGTACAATATGATGATGTACCAGAATACAAAGATCGAATAAATCTCTCTGAAAATTATACCCTATCAATTAATAATGCCAGAATTAGTGATGAGAAGAAATTTGTATGCATGCTTGTAACAGAGGAAAATGTCTTTGAGCAGCCTACAATAGTCAAGGTGTTCAGTAAGTACCAATCATGTAACAGGAATAACAGTATCACTAATCAGTAATGTGTGGTTCTTCTCTTCGAGAGTTATTAGCACATGAAAGCATTAATCAGATGAATTAGCTTCTTGCATGAATGGAAATCTTCTGTGTAGCTGTGGCAAAACGAAATTTACACTCGTCTGTGTTCAGAAGTGAATGCATGATTTCTCATACAAACTTAGGCCACAATCCTGGCAGTAGTAACAACTCATGCCACAGTAATCATGTAAGCAGTTTCCTGCCATTGCCAGGATGTCTCTTGTACAACCCGTTGCACGCTGGTTGTGAAATGGTTGTCAAATGGATCATGTAACGGACACTTGTGCAGAAAGAAGAAACTGCTTGTATACAGTAATTACCACTGCATGCATGGCTCTAACCAGCAAGATTCTGCATGACTCTAACCAACAGGCAGAAAGGGATAAAAGGAGGAATTGATGGGATATTATGTGCATTGCGAAGATGTCTGTGAAATAAACAATACTGCCATATCACTGTGGAAATGCACTTATAGTTAGCCTGTGTCTATATATGTGTATGCACGTCATTTCCTGTCTACATAATCAAGAACAGCAGAGAGCCCAAGCACTTGCTAGTTGCTACTTTAAAGTAGAAACTAAGCAAGAAAGATGTATGGGGTGCAATGTAGCACCTGTCCAAAGATCTGCATTAGCCTGTCATTAAGCCAGTAATAAGATACAGATTTTATTTCTTAAAATTGAGTGGAATTTTCCATTGAATGGTCATATTCTCAAGTCACATAAAAGGCTAGTAGATGGTCCAAATTTAGAAATGAGCATGAGTTTCTGCTTCAGCAGTTCAGCACAATTTGTTTCCTGTCTGAACAGATGATCCTTGATTCAGTGCCCCGTCCCTTCCAGTGAGCACCCACTCAGGAGTAGCACCCAATCTCCCCCCTCCAGGTACTGCTGTTTGGCTGGGAAATGGATAGCTGTTTGGCTGGGAAATGAATTGTGCCCAACTACCAAACCAGCAGTTCTTGCCCATTTTTGGTCAAATATTTTAAATGTAGGTGCTGTTATTTTCTGTCAAACCTACACACAAATAGTAGTAAACGCATTGTCCTTTTCTGAGTACTGTTTGATTGATCAGTAAAATTACACAAAATCTACATATTATCATCCTCATTAGACCTGTACAGACTTCTACCTTTCCCTATAGTTGTTTAGGGAAAGGTGTGTGTATAAGCAATGTGTAATTTTTGAAAAAATAAATACAGTTAGTACACAGAAATCTTAAGATGAACATGCCCACACAAAATGTTCAGATGGGCCCCATTCACTCCCATGTTCAGACAAGTGCCTTAGTTACGATTGTGAAATTTCAGCAGCTCATTGTTTATCATCATCCATTCTGTACAATCTGAAGAACAGTTACATTTTTTTCGGTTGAAGCTTAAGAGTAGTTGACAGAAAGCATCCTTTTTGTAAAGTAGAACTAAGTGCCGTGTTTCCCCGAAAACAAGACAGGGTCTTATATTGATTTTTGCTCCAAAAAACACATTAGGGCTTATTTTTAGGGATGTTTTATTTTTTTCATGTACAAGAATCTGTGTTTATTTAAATACAATCATGTCATCTTCTGGTTGCTGCACAATGGTGGAGAGGTGGGATTTCACTTAACTAGGGCTTATTTTGGGGGCAGGGCTTATATTACGAGCATTCTGAAAAGTCATACTAGGGCTTATTTTCATGTTAGGTCATTTTCAGAGAAACATGGTAGTCAGAATCTAGAAAGGTTTGATCTCCTATTGTTGACGGAGCCATTTGCTTAGAGCGGCTTGTGCTGTTACAGGGTGACATTTTCAATGTGCCCACTTCTCTTCTCAGGAGCTAACATGAGGTTTCTGCAGCCACATGGTGCTTATGAAGGCCCCACAAGAAGATGGGCTGCACTCCCCATCTTTATCACCTGTGCTATTTTATGCAAATTCTATCTGAAACTATTTTTTTTAAAAAAATATCTCTCCTCTACACAGACTGATTTGGGGTGTAGGTTGCACATTCTTTCATTTAATTCATAAAGACAAACCAGGTCACTATCAACATCCATAGTTGTATCTCATACTACTCTGATTTCTTTCTTGAAATTTTATTTTCTTTGCAATTATTTGAAATGTTGTTTGTATTTCCCTCTGTCTTTCCTGGAATGTATTCTAGGCATTACAGTTTACTTACTCTTGAGATTACATTGTGAAAATATTGTTGTTCATCGTTAACTCAAAATTTGAATTACATTTTAAAAAAAATGAACTTATTTTAGATTATTCTAATAATAAGTACGTGGCATTCTTACCAGAGTTGCTTAGGTGTACAGTATGAAGAAGTGATTTGCCACTGCCTTCTTCTAGGGGGTATCTGGGACCCTGTAGCATGCCCAAGGCTGCAGAGACTGTTCTTCTCCTACAAGCCATAATGGAATTCAAATTCCTGATCTCTGGCTCTATACTGTAGCTAGATACCATTGAGCTAGGATGTTTTTATGAGAGATTTCCTAAGAATTTTCATCCTTTTTGTGTGTGTATGTATTTTAGTATGACAAAATATTTTCAAAGCAGTTGGAACATAAAGCCATTCCCTTCCCTGCTTAAACTAGGAATGAGAAGAAGTTATGCTACTTCAGAATACTGCCAGGTGTTTATACAACTCCATTGTAATGTTTTCAAGTGACAACTTGAATTTGACATAATAATAATAATTCATATTTACATTAGGCAAAAACAATAATAATAGAAGATATGTTTACTTTCACTGTCAAGATTTACTGCGAATAAGTAATTTAAATGGGTTAGCAAGAGCTAAAGCTCTTGACATTTGGATACTTCTGAATTTAAGCATGTAAAATAAGGTACTCATGAGTTTTAAATTTATTTAAGTTTTGGCTGCCAGGGAACGTGAAATCTGGAGTTTCTTAGAAACACCATATGCCTACTCAGTGAAGTACACAAATTACATGCACAGATGTAGTTCATAATCGCTTTTGCTCAACCAAAACTGTTAGTGCTCTGAAAAATAGATGTATTCCTAGAGGTAGTTACATGAAGCTTGTTGCATTCCAGTCCTAACCTAATTGGGTGACACCACTAGCTAACAAGCTGTGTTGCATATGGAATTCTAATACTTGTGGATAGCATCTGCTGGATCATTCAAGTATCACTGTCAATCAATCTTTCTTGGTGAAATTTGTCAGCATTTTCATCTGCATCTTACACAGAGCAGTCTTTATCCATAGTCCATGTATTCCCCCTGCACTTTAGTTCAAAATTCAAAGTGTCAATACTACTTGTATTAGAAGATTATGCACCAAGAGCTAAGAGCCTGTAGAAATTTGTAGCACCTCTAATGCCATTAACTTGTTGAGCTTAAATCTATTGCTTCTACATTCCAACAAGAAAAAAAAGCACAGGCTTCTGTGGTTTAGCCCACAGCGCCACCACCTAGAAAACATTGCAGTAATAACTAGAAGCCAATATGGATTTGTCAAGAACAAATGCTGCCAAACTAATTTGATCTCGTTTTTTGATCAGGCCCCACCCCTGATACAGGGAATGCTGTGGACGTAGTATATCTTGACTTCAGCAAAGCTTTTGACAAAGTGCCCCATGATATTCTGATTAGCAAGCTAAGTAGGTGTGCGCTGGATAGATCAAGTGTCAGGTGGATACACAATTGGCTACAGAATCGTACTCAGAGGGTGATGATTAATGGGTCCTTCTCTAACCGGGAAGAGATCACAAGTGGGGTACCCCAAGGCTCAGTCCTGGACCTGGTGCTCTTCAATATTTTTATGACTTGGATGAGGGAGTGCAGGGAATGCTTGTCAGATTTGCAGATGATACAAAATTGGGTGGAATAGCTAATAAGCTAGAAAACAGAAACAAAATTCAAAATGACTTTGAAAGGGGGAGCACTGGGACGAAAGCAACAGAATGAAATTCAGCAGGGTTAATTGCAAAGTCCTGCACCTCCAAAAAAGAAACCAATTGCACAGTTACAAGATACCTGGCTCAGCAAAACAATGAGTGAGAAGGATGCTGAAATTGTTGTAGAACGCAAGCTAAATAAGAGCCAACAGTGTGATGTGGCTACAAAAAAGGCAAATGCTATTTTAGGCTGCATTAATAAAAGTATAGTTTCCAGATCCCACAAGGTGCTAGTCCCCCTCTATTAAGCACTAGTTAGGCCTCACCTTCAGTATTGTGTCCAGTTCTGGACATCACACTTCAAGAAGGTTGCCAATAAACTGCAAGAAATTCAGAGCAGGGTGACAAGGATGATCATGGGAATGGAAACCAAGCCTTATGAGGAAAGGCTGAAAGAATTGGTCATGTTTAGTGTTGACAAAAGAAGACTAAGAGGTCATATGATAGCACTTTTCAAATATTTGGAAGACTGTCATACAGAGGAGGGGAAAGATCTGTTCTTGATCAACCCAGTGTGTTGGACATGCAACAATGGGCTGAAGTTAAAGGAAGCCAGATTTTGGTTGAATATCAGGAAAAACCTCTTAACTGTTAGAGCAGTCTAGCAGTGGAATCAATTACCTCGAGAAGTGGTGAGTGGTCCAACACTGGAGGCATTCATGATAAACTTAGATAATCACCTGGCAGATATGCTTTGATTGTATTCCTGCATTGAGCAAGGGGTTGGCCTTGATGACCTTGTAGGCCTCTTCCAACTTCACTTTTCTATGATTCTACAGAAAATACACTTTAAAAATCTAACTAAGGCAAATCACACTTGCTCTGTCTTCTAGCTTATATAGTGCAGCACTCCTATGTGATAAATAGCCTGATGCCAAACTTCTGATTACTGAGAAGTCCTAGTGATTTCAGTGAGACTCCAGTTCAAATAAATGTGCTTAGAATTTTAGAAAAAAAATGATATGTATTGGCTGAAATCCCATTGTGCATCTTTGCATGCTCAGCAGTGAAAATGTCATCAGCAAAAGTAAGCCACTGAGTAAAGACTTCCTTTTGAGATATAATAATATAATGTTAGAACTGTAGATTGAGTCCAGTTCCTGTCAAAGAGGCACATTGTTATAGGGTACATTCAACTTCACTGCATTGTATAACAAATGCATACATCCTGAAATCACCTTTAATCCAAGATGGTCTACCTTTAATAAGCAGTGATTTGCTGCTGCTGGCCGCTATTATGCACATTGAGATGCACAACAAGATTTCAGCCACTAAATAGCAAGTGAATGGTACCACTTTGTTCTGCATTGGTAAAACCTCACCTGTAACTCTGTGTTCACATCTGGGCACCACAGTTTAAGAATGGCATCCACAAATGTTAGGAGGAACATCCTAACAATAAGAACTTTTCATCAGTGAAATGTTCTACACGAGAAGGCAATTTATTGGAGGCATCCAAACAAACATTAGATACAGTAGATGCCTGGTATGGATGCCTTAGCTGTGGATTTCCTACATTGGCAGGACATTGTACTAAATGATGTTCAACATCCCTTTCAGTTCTACAGTCATATAATTCTATGATTCTGTGAATTACAGAACATTCCTCTGCTTAACCTTCAATAATAGTTAAAAGAGCCTTACAGAAGTCTTTAATGCAATTTACAAAATACAGTTTACACTAAACCTTGCAGCAGTAATGCAATTTTCAGCACTTAATGTGATCTACACCTTCATTCACATCATTATTTGTCTATTTCAAAGAGCTTATCTTCACCTTTACTCAAAGTCATCAGGAAGAAAGAATGTTAACAAAATGACATAGGAAAAAATTGTTACACTCAGCGGGAAAGAATCTGAATTGTTCTATTAATATAAATAAGAAATAAAGTAGCTGAAACCTTGTTTTAATCCATTGTTTTCCCCTTCTAAAAATTATGGCTGAAAGTCAGGAAATAACTTTTTATTATAAATCTAAGACTTTGTATGCAAATTAATTGATTAAAATATGATGACTGATTATTAATAGTTCTTTAATTGGGTTGCAGACCTTGTTGTATATTTTGATATTTGTATAGAATGTCATTATAATAAGTATTAATGGTGATTATATTAGAGTAACTATTGTAAGTATTATCATGAAGTAAAAGTAAAGCTGGACAGGGAAAATACACATTTAAATATAATACTACTAACTAATTGAGCTTAAATAGATTTCTTCTTCAAAAGGAACAATCAAAACCTTAGACAATCCAGAAAAGGTGTTTATAACTACACAATTTCTCAGTTATTAGCCTTTTTAAAAAGGTTCATACTGTTAATATCAAATAAACAATGGACTTTATCATTGGGTGAGTAATGCTCAATTCACTTTAACTGGATTCAGGTCCCTAGGAAATGGTTTCTGAAAAGTGGTTTATCCCAGTGTATATACTAGTAGTGCAGGGGTGTCAAACTCAAATTCATCGGGGGCCGCATCAGCAGTTTGGTCCCCATCAAAGGGCCGGTTGTATCTGTACTGATGGCCTTGCAAGGACCCCATCCGGATAGGTGGGAAAACCAAGGAAGGAAGAGAAAGTGCCTGTGTGTGTGTGTGTGTGTGTGTGTGTGTGAGAAAGAGAGATACAGGAAGAGAATGTGTGTGTGTGTGTGTGTGTGTGTGTGTGAAGGAAGAGAAAGTGCCAGG